GATAAGAAGAGCAAGCCACAGCCAACTTCACTTTAAGAAGTCCTCAGCTGATCCTGAAAGCCTCTGAGTCCTAACAGGAAAGGCATCAGCCCAAAAGAGTCTTTAGTTCCTGCCTCCTTGTAACTTATATATCTTTCTTTACCTTGACATATTATTTCCTGGGGTTAAAGGCATGTGTACTTCTTAAGCAAAGACATGAGATCTCAAGTACTATGATTAAAGGTGTGTGCCACCATTGTCTGGCTCCATTGATATCTCTTAACCTGCTGAGAATTATTATAAGTAGGTACCATGAAGGCAAATATTTCTCTGTCATTTTCTTGCAAGTGTATTGTAAAGAAACTGTCTTTTAAATCAATAACAATAAGAGGCTATCGTTTAGCTAACTGAGAAGGCAAAGGAATTTGAGATTGTAGAGAGCCCATTGTCTGAACTACTTTGGTAATTGCCCTCTCAACCATAGCCAGTAGTCTACAGTGGAGTCATCCTTGTGGATTCCTGGGGACTTCTCTAGCACTCCAATTATTTCTATTCCCATGGTGTCTTCATTTATCATCTTATCTCTTTCCTTGTTCTCCCATTCTGTTCCAGATCCAGCTAGGACCTTCCACTCTCCTAAGCTCTCTTTCCCCTGACACTTGCCCTCCATTACCCTCCCCAAAACCCAGTTTGCTCATGTAGATCTTATTGATTGCTCTATCACTGGGTGATCCCTTTGTCTTTCCTAGGGTCCTCTTCACTAGCTGTCTTCCATGGAGCTGTGAGTTGCAGTCTGCTTATTCTTTGCTTTACATCTATTATCCACTTATGAGTGAGTACATACCATGTTTGTCTTTCCGAATCTGGGTTATCTCACTCAGGATGATATTTTCTGGTTCCATCCATTTTCCTGCAAACCTCATGATGTCATTGTTTTGCTCTGCTGAGTAGTACTCCATTGCGCATATGTACCACTTGTTCTTTATCCATTCTTCAGTTATAGGGCATCTAGGTTGTTTCCAGGTTCTGGATATTACAAATAATGCTGCTATGAACATAGTTGAGCATTTGTCCATCCTTGTGGTATGTATGAGCATTCCTTGGTAATATGCCCAAGAGTGGTGTAGCTGGGTCTTGAGAGAGATTGATTCCCATTTTCAGAGAAAGGGCCATACTGACTTTCAAAGTGGCTGTACCAATTTGCATTCCCACCAAGAGAGTAGGAGTGTTCCCCTTGCTCCACATCATCTCCAACAGAAGCTGTCTTCAGTGTTTTTGATCTTAGCCATTTTGACAGGTGTAAGATGGTATCATTTTGATTTGCCTTTCCCTGATGGCTAAAGATATGGAGCAATTCCTTAAATGTCTTTAAGCCATTTCAGCTTCTTCTGTTGAGAATTCTCTGTTTAGCTCTATAGCCCATTTTTAATTGGACTGTTGGGTATTTTGATGTCTAATTTCTTGAGTTCTTTATATGTTCTGGATATCAGCCCTCTGTCAGATGTGGGGTTGGTGAAATTTTTTTTCCATTCTGTTGGCTGTCTTTTTGTCTTATTGACTGTGTCCTTTGCCCTGCAAAAGCTTCTTACTTTCAAGAGGTCCCACTGATTGATTGCTTCTCCCAGTGTCTGTGCTACTGCTGTCATATTTAAGAAGTAATCTCTGGTGCCAATGCATTCAAGACTAATTCCTACTTTCTCTTCTATCAGGTTCAGAGAAACTGGATTTATGTTGAGGTCTTTAATCCACTTGGAGTTAAGTTTTGTGCACGAGACAGATATGAATATATTTGCAGCCTTCTACATGTAGAAATCCAGTCATGCAAGCACCATGTGTTGAAGATGCTTTCTTTTTTCCATTGTACAGTTTTAGCTTCTTTGTAAAAAATTATATGTTCATAGGTGTGCTGATTAATATCAGGGTCTTCAGTTCTATTCCACTGTTCCACTTGTCAGTTTTTATGCCAGTACTAAGCTGTGTTTATTACTGTAGCTCTATAATAGAGCTTGAAGTCAGGGATCATGATGCCTCCAGAGGTTGTTTTATTGTACAGGATTCTTTTGGCTATCCTGGGTTTTTTGCTTTTCCATATCAAGTTGAGTATTGTTCTTTCCACGTCTGTGAAGAATTGTGTTGGTATTTTGATGGGGATTGCCTTGAATCTGTAGATTGCTTTTGGTAAGATTGCCAATTTTACTATGTTAATCCTGCCTATCCATGAGCATGGGAAAACTTTCCATTTTCTCACATCTTCTTCAATTTTTTTTCAGGGACTAAAAGTTCTTGTCATACAGGTCCTTCACTTGCTTACTTAGAGTTACCCCAAGGTATTTTATATCATTTGTGGCTATTGTAAAGGGTGATGTATCTCTGATTTCCTTCTCAGCCTGTTTGTCAATTGTATATAAGAGGGCTACTGATTTTTTTTAGTTAATCTTGCATCCTGCTACGTTGCTCAAGGTGTTTATAAGATCTATGAGTTCCTTGGTCAAATTTTTGTGGTCACTCATGTATACTAGCATGTCATCTGCAAATATTGAGAATTTGCCTTTTTCTTTTCCAAATTATATTGCCTTGATCTCCTTATGTTGTTTTATTGCTGTGGCTAGAACTTAAAGTACTATATTGAATAAGTATGGGGAGAGTGGACAGCCTTGCTTTGTTCCTGATTTTAGTAGAATTGCTTTGAGTTTCTCTCCATTTAAATTGATGTTGGCTGCTGGCTTGCTGTAAGTTGCCTTTATTATGGTTAGGTATGTTACCTGTCTTTCTGATGTCCTCAGGACCTTTATCATGAAGGGGTGTTGGATTTTGTCAAATGCCTTTTCAGCATCTAGTGAGATGATCTAGTGGTTTTTTCTTACAGTTTGTTTATATGGTGTATTACATTGATGGACTTTCATATGTTGAACCACCCTTACATCCCTGGGATGAAGCCTACTTGGTCATAGTGAATAATTGTCTTATTGCGTTCTTGAAGCCTGTTTGCCAGTATTTTATTGAGTATTTTTCCATCAATGTTCATGAGGGAGATTGGGCTGTAGTCCTCTTTCTTTGTTACATCTTTGTTTGCCCTAGAAATCAGAGTAATTGTAGTCTCATAGAAGGAGTTTGGTAATAATCCTTCTGTTTCTATTTTGTAGAACAATTAAAAGAGTTTTGGTATTAACTCTTTTTGGAAAATCTGCTAGAATACTGTGCTGAAACCATCTGGTCCAGAGCTTTTTTTTCTTTGGGAGACTCTTGATGACTGATTATATTTCCTTAGGCATTATTGGACTATTTTATAGTTTATCTGGTCTTGATTTAACTTAGGTATGTGGTAACGATCCAGAAAATTATCCATTTCTTTTAGATTTTCCAGTTTTGTTAAGTAGAGGTTTTGAGGTATGAACTGATGATTTTCTGTTGTTATGTCCTCCTTTTCATTTCTGATTTTGCTAATTTGGATGCTCTCTCTCTCTGCCTTTTGTTTAGTTTGGATATGGGCTTGTCTATCTTGTTGATTTTTTTAAGAACCAACTCTTTGTGTCATTAATTCTTTGTAATGTTCTCTTTGTTTCTATTTCATTGATTTCAGCTATCAGTTTGATTATTTTTTGGCGTCTGTTCTACCTGGGTGAATTTGCTTCTTCTTGTTCTAGAGCTCTCATGTGTACTGTTAAGTCACTAATGTGAGATTTCTCCAACTTCTTTATGTGGGCATTTAGTGCTATGAATTTCCTTCTTAGCACTGCTTTCATAGTGTCCCATAAGTTTTGGTATGTAGTATATTCATTTTCATTGATCTCTAGGAAGTCATTAATTTATTTCTTATTTCTTCCTTGACCCATTGTTGATTCAGTGGAGCATTGTTCAGTTTCCATGGATTGTGGGCTTTTATGTAATTTTTCTTGTTGTTGAAATCTAACTTTAAACCATGGTGGTCTGATAGAACACAGGAGGTTATTTGATTTTTTTTTTAATCTGTCGAGGTTTGCTTTGTGACTGAGTATGTGGTTGATTTTAGAGAAAGTTTCATGGGGTACTGAAAAGAAGGTATATTCTTTTGTGTTAGGGTGGAATTTTCTGTAGATGTCGATTACATCCATTTGAGTCATAACATCAGTCAAGCCCCTTATTTGTTTGTTAAGTTTCATTTTGGCAGATCTGTCCAATGGTGAGAGTGGGCTGTTGAAGCCTACAACTATTAATGTGTGGGGTTTTATGTGTGATTTAAGCGTTATTACTGTTTCTTTTACATATGTGGGTGCCCTTGTGTTTGGTGCATAAATGTTGAGAATTGAAACTTCATCTTGGTGGATCTTTCCTGTGATGAGTATGTAATGTCCTTCTTGGTTTCTTTTGATGGATTTTACTTTGAAGTCTATTTTGTTGGATATTATGATAGCTATGCCAGCTTGCTTCTTAAGACCGTTTGATGGGTAAGACTTTTCCCAGCCTTTTATTCTAGGGTAGTATCTAACTTTGAAACTATGGTGTGTTTCTTGTATGCAGCAGGCAGATGGGTCATGTTTTTGTATCCATTCTATTAGCCTGTGTCTTTTATAGGTGAATTAATTTCATTAATATTAAGGGATAATAATGACTATTGATTGTTAGTTCCTATTATCTTTTGAGGAACAAATATTTGATGACTCAAGACTACAAGGTTCAGGGCTGGAGAGATGACTCAGAGGTTAAGAGCACTGTACTTACCTTATAGAAGATATGAGTTTAGTACCTAGGACACACAGAATGGAACTTACAGCACAGATAATGGCAACTCCAGGGGAACCGAAGCATTCTTCTCATACCTAAACATACAACACACAGAAATGTATGTGCACATACCCCCCCACACAAAGACACACATAAAATAGCCACTACTACTCCACTACTACTGCCACTAATACTAATGATACTATTATTATTAAATATTTCAGAAAAAACCTACAGAATTCTATAATAGGATGTATTCTATGACCATACCCACTCATTCACCTGTACAAGGACAGGATAAATAAACAGCAGTGTTCATGTAAGATTATTAAATTTTAAGGATTTATTTCCATGGAAATAGCTCAGGAGGGAAACCAGTCATTTTCTCCTGGAATATTTTATCAAAGGCTTCAGCTTGGGTTACTGTAATGTGATTCTTCCAGTCCCCAGTCATGCCTAGAAAATGTGAAGCAGACACAGAGATGGGTTAATGATGATTGTAAATCTGCTTTTACCCCTTTCTTCACATGATCTTACCATCTGCTTAAGTAGGACCACAGTTAATAAAGTAGAACTAACAGTTACTTTATGGACAACAATTCTTATGCTTTGAAAAATATGCAAACAGACTTGTACCTCTTTGTAAATAATGTCAACCATCTGCTGTACCAACATATCTACTCCACAATCAACAGCATAGACAATGGATCTACATTTTTAATGTCCAGATTATTTCTTCTTCTCACTAGACATGCTTCCATTATACTATCCAGCCCAACAGAATTTATCTCTATTATCCAAACACATTTCAGTTGTTGTTTCTGCCTTGTAGGGCTTACTTACAAAAGTTCTGCAAACTATGCAAGCAACTTTTAAGACACATTTTTAAATTAATTTTAATTATGGGTCTGTAGCTGTATATGAATGCACATGCCTGCAGAGGTTGAAGGCATCAGATACCATGGAGCTGGAGATACATAAAATGGTGAGCTACATATCAGTCATCTTGATATTTCCATAAGATACAACAGACCCTGATACTGCCTGCTGAGAACATCCCAGTGTTTCTATTTTCAGTCAGTATGGAGTTTGGTGATGCATGAAGAAGATTTCATCCCTAGTATTTTTTTTTTTACAATATGTTGGTTCTCATAACCGCATTATAGGTGGTCTTTAGATATGGATCTCAAATAATCCAAATTCTCACATTGTATTATGTGTTCTTTCACCATAAATTGTTTATATATTCTACATACTCAATTCTAATTCTTTTGTTTCCTTATTTGTGCGACTGTAACCATCTCTTTCTATCTTCTCTCCATGTAGAATCCTACAGTTCCCATTCTTGCTGTATTTTATTTAATTGCTCTGACACATTAATGAATATCCCTTTTCTAAACATGCTTGAAACATGTATCTAATATATTTGAAAAGTAAATTATTTCTTAAATTACCAAAGTCTTCATTTATCAAAGCATAACAGACATATAAAACGTACTCAATATAGAATTATTGAAAAGATTAATGAATGAGTAAGCAAGATAGTAGCCTTGTTCCCATTTTGCTGATGAAGAAAAATTAGTTCTTGAGATCTTACCAGCATTATAATGATGCATGTGGATTTGAAGCCAAAATGACTGACAATAGATGTTATGTTTTTTCCTTACCAAAATACAGTCATTGTGTATCATGTAAGTTAAATTTAAATGCCCAGTAATTATACATTAAAGGAAATATAATTATTGATACACACTATTCAAATAATATACCATTTATTGTCATGACTGTAAGTGTGTCATATATTAAGATTGGAAACTATCAGTGCACATTGCTACTTTCATCTTCATTATTATATTCATTATTGGAAAAGTAGTGTTATTATACCCCACAGCAATCTTGATTCTGAGCTACCAGAATCTCAGCAAGTTCAATATGTCTGCCCAATGGAATGAATCAGTCCAGATGAGAGAATCATGTTTGAGTAGGTGCACTTATGAAGTTCTAAGTCCAACTATCTCAAAATATTGTGTACTTTCCATGCATGTATTTCTCTTCATTGTTTCTTTCTAAAAACCTTCTCAAACTCCTATGTGTCCATTGTCAGTATAACCCAATGCATAGTGGCATAACTCTTGTTGGAATGGAAATTCCTCATAGTTTTGGAGGCTGTAGGTCTCATAAAATGTTGTTGTCCATATCAACTTGGCTTTTTTTGGCCTGTAGATAGTGGGCTTCTCCTAGGTCTTCTTCCTTCTGTGTCTCAGATTAATATCTTCTTTGTGCACCAGAGAAAATTATTAATGGCTCAAGTACTCTGTCTAGTAAATATCAAATGTGAACAATGGATGGTCAAAACCTTTGAAGTTTGTGAGAAGACATTTCCTCCCATGTATTTTGATTGTGGCAATGTCTTTATAAAAGTTCTATCAACTAAACAGAACATCTCTCTGGTCTGTATTTCCTGCACTATCTAAATACCGAATCATAATGAAAAAATATTTGTGGAAAATTATTCACTGGAGCTTTAAAATAAATTAATCCCATATAACCAGATAATTGAGTCTCCCAGGCAAAGAGTAGCTCTCCAGAGTATCTCTAGATGCAAGAAAATATATCTTTCTGGTGTCCTGAGAAAAACAACTAAGAAACTACAAAAATAAGTTGAGAGAATTCTTCTTGGTCAGAGCTAGTATAACATTTAACACAACTTTTTATGCACTATGATTTAAGGATTAGGTATCTAATGATAAGTAATGAAATAAATTTTAGAATTAATCCTTGATCTGCTCATAGCTTCCATATTAAAAAGGAATCAATGTAATGTAGAAATTAAGATGATCATCATTATCCTCGTTCATTTTATTCTTTCCAAAATATTTCCAAACATATGCATCTCAGCAACTTATATACTGAAGTCATGAATCAGGGTGAGGGGTGTAATGAAGTTTCTCTCCCCCTTCATTGATCTGGTTTCCTGTGGGATTCATGGCTTATAGTGAGTGTTAATACAAGGAAAACAATTTCTCAGAATAAAAGTTATCTTCAAATGCAAAAGAAATGATTGTCATAAATAATCACAAAGATAACTAAATCACATATGACTTTAGGGCCATATCCAGTTATTTGACATAACTAATATATTTTTTCCTAAGAAATATAATGCATGAAAAAATACTGTCTTAAAAGAGTCTAAACTAAAATCCCAATGTGTTCTCATTCTGGAGGAACATACCTGGAAAAGAGGAAATTACAGTTTTCCTCATGAAATTGTGTCCCAAATTCTATTGCATCTGTTCCAGTTTGTCTCAGATAAAACTTTTGTTAGTTTCAATAGCATTTCTCTCTTAAGCAAGCCACTTTATTTGTTTTGACATTTCATTGAAACCATTCTCATTGAAAACACATACTCTTCTATCTCTGCCCAAATTTGATTCATTACAGGAAATCCAAGAATGGGCAATTTCTTTTCTTACTTGAGGTCTTCAGTTCTTATACAGAGAACTCTATCTCCACAGAGTCTGGAGCACAGGAATCTGAGTTTATCAGTCAATGCCAGAGGATCCTCTGATAGGCCTCAATCCTTAGTGTATAGATTACCATTTTCTTGAGTTGACAATTTTGTGTGCCCAAATCTAAGTCTAATTTCCTCTTGTGAGAACACCAGGAGTTCTGAATTAATTGCAATCCACTAATGACTTTAACTTATTTATCTCTATGTATACTCCTGAAGTCCTTACTGTCTTATGACATGATCCTCTGTAGGTTGGAGTTAGACTGAAGATTAAGGCTGAAGCATGTAAATAATTGGAAGAGAAAAATTAAACCCATAACTCTCCACTTCCTGACTTTATACCCAAGTTCTTTAGTCATCCCCAAATACCTCACACCTAACTCATTCCTTCTTCAACCCTGAGTCCCACCTCACCAATTATTCACTAATTTGGTGTGGTGTATTCTGGCAGTCAATCCTCAACTGCACAAATATGAAAACATACCCACAATCTCCTCCTAGCATAGAGAGGATAGAGAAGATGGATATCCCATTCTGAGGGAGACAATTCATAACAAAGACAGTAACTATGATCATGAAGCAATCCAAATTTAACTTGGCAAATGCCATCATATTTTAACACTGGGGGATAATTCTCTTAGTCCTCTTAATGTCTACTCTTAGCCTATGGTAGATCAGCAATCTTGACATGTTGGATATCTTTTCCAGCAGAGAATAGTAGTGTATTTTGTGGTAATCATCTAATATATATCTTTGGTTCTTTGAATTAAACATTTTCTTTAGAATAAGGGCTATGGTACAGTGAGGCTAAAACAACTCACAAAAACATGTCTACTTTCTCATTTTCCATTGAGGATATTGGACACAAGCCTCTAAAATCCGAAGATCATCTCTACCCCCCCATAACATTTTCAGAGTTTCTGAAATCCATGTCATCACCATAGATAGATTCCCCTGAAATTCTGTGAGAAACTATGAGTGATGAACAATGACTCCTGACATATTTCCAACAATTTTTTAGAGTCTCATTGGGACAAAAAACCTTCCACATATTCTGACATATTTTGGAACTAAAGAGTTTCCTCACCTTTTCTCATGAGGGCCAAACCATTAGTAATAACATCTTCTGGGACAAGACTAAAATTAGACATTTTGTTTTCTTTCATGGCTTGGAAGGAGCTATACTTGAGGACCAGATCTAGCTCATCTGGCTCTAGTTTCATTCCTAGGAAGTCACAAATCTTCTCTACGGTTCCCCTTGTATTCTAAAAGAAGAAACAAAACAAAAATGAGGTTAATAATTAGAGAGCTTAGAAAGAACAGCTGCAGAGAAGGTGACTACAGATGGAAGATGGAAAAAGAAACATGAAGAATGAAATGGCACCATGAAATGAGAAAGTATTCAATGGGGTATAGGAAAGAAACAGGCTTTGTAAAGAGAGCAAGAGTCACACACAACATTTGTATATTTAGTCGGCTTGCAATGTGACTGATCTCTGGCCCCTAAACTATAGAGGCTTGAATTTCTTTTATGGGTGAGATACTATTAGATGAGTCTCATATAACTTCGACTGTCCTCAATTTACTTTGTGTTGAATGAAGGCCTTAAACTTCTGATCATCCTGTTTCTACCTGTCTATTGCTATATTCACAGATGTGTGCCAACTCACCTAATAAATGCAATGGGATGTTTTGTGTTGAGACAGTATGCTATGGAGGGAAACCTATCTGTTGTGATGTAAAATGCTGTGGAGACTAGACTGACCCCAAAAACAATGAGGCATTTCCTCTTAAGTGCAAACATTAAAGGTGTCCACCACCATACCAAACCTGCCCTGTGATATTTAAAGATACTTAGAGAAATACTACTAGAAGCAGTCAATGTGAATGAAGGCCATATGCACAAATAATTGGATGGAGGTTCATGTTTATGCCAAATGATACTTTTTCCTACGGGTAACTAAGAAGAACACAGTTTTAAAACACTTTCATAAAAAATGTCCTTAATAATTTTTACTTGGGACTACTGCCAATATTTGATTTTGTTTTGAATTATGATTTCATGGTGTTACTTAGATGGGCATCAAATTCACAATCTGTTTACCTCCAACCTCCGGACTGGCATTATAACCATGCTCTGCCACAACTGGCTCACTTCTAGGGTTGGTCATAAGAACTCAAAGTGGTTTTTTTTGGTTGTGAGCATAGCCTTTAACTTAATAGTATTGTAAAATAAAATAAAATAATTAATAATAAAAAAGAAAATTAAAAAATTAATAATGTCAGATTTCTCCTAATAAACTTTTATTTAGCTCAAAAAAAAAAAGAACACAAAATTTTGGAATAAGGATGACTTTGCTTAGAATCCAAGCCCTACACATGGGCTCATAAAGGAATTTTTAGCTCTAAACTTATATTACATATTTTATCACAGATTCAGTTAATATTTAATGTGACAGTAAACAACCATGGTGATAACTGAAATGAATGCATTGAATGGTTAGAATGGAGATTTATGGGAAATTGCACAAGCATGCAGCAGATGTGGATAATGAAGCTTCCTGGTTAAAATTAAATTTTTGAAAAATTAACATATTTTTCAAAAGACAGGAATCTGATGGATGTCTTTACTTCTTACATGGAAATTTTCTATCCCTAGACGATAAAATTATGACATCAAATTATTTTGGAATGATTCAATTTTTCTATTTTTGTTGATCCTTAATATATTCCACTAAAAATTACTTTTCTGACTCCTGATATGGAAATAGGTAGGCTGACCACATATTTTGATGTTTTCCTCTGCTCTTCCAGATCCAATTCACAAGTCTCATCCTAAGTTCTGCCATAGAAAATCTTTGACATCTGAACCCATCAAGAGTGGATCCCAAAGATCTCCTCTTATCCTGACTCTTTCATAGGATAAGGATTATCCCAAACCCCAACTTCAAGTGGCCCTCCTTTGTAAACCACAGATCACTCAGGCCTGGTGAAAGTAAGCTAACTATAGATTTTTGGCTCACTCTCCATTCCTTGGAGACCCATCCTCAAGTATTAACACCTTCTCTGCATCAAAACACCTACATCAGCTACTTCCATATCTAGTGGATCTCAGAGACCCTCCCTAAAACAAATCAATGCCTTATTCCACACCTCATCCTCATCAAGCATTTCCCAATTACCCACAGGCAAAGCTGGGCATGGAAAAAGCAGGCTCAATGCAAAGCTTTACATCTCCATTTGTTCCTAGAAGTGCAGTCTCCTAGTTTCATCCTCATCTCTATGCAGAAAACCTGCTAGAGGTTCTCTCCCAAAATTCCTCTATATAATGTGTATAAAAAGGTCTTATGCTCAAAAGTTCTTTCTCCCTACTCATTGCTTTCCCCTCACTTCTGAATCAAGAAGACACTCCATAGGAACCCACATGTCACTCTGACCAGGAAAGGAAACTTCAGATCTTCACCTTTACCTGCATCATACCAACTCTGATCATTCAGTTTTATCCAAAACCTTATATCAAAATTTTGCTATGGCCTATCCTCACTCAGTGCCCCCATTTCCAGGTGATTATCTATGCAGTTGCTGTGAAAAATAGCTTTCTTCCATTCTGGGGTCCTTCTTATTCTCCACTCATAGGCCATCACCTTTACTAAGTGCTATGGAATATTCCTGTATACTGTGTAAATTATGCTCTGATTGGTTTAATAAAAAAAAGTTGACTGACCAATAACCAAGCAGTATAAGGTTAGGAAGTAAAACCAAATTATGGAGGAGAAAAAGAAGGGCCGAGAGGGAGTAAGCCACTGCCAAAGCAAGATATTATAGGCAGATAAAACCACAGGACATGTGGCAATACATAGATTAATAAAATGTGTTAATTTAAATGTCAGAGCTAGTTAGTAACAAGCCTGAGCTATTGGATTAGAATTTTGGAATTATCATAAGTTTCTGAGTGGTAATTTGAGAACTGGGAGGTGGGAGAGAAATGTCCATTTACATAGGGCACCCACGATTGGGCACATATATCTATGTAAAATGTGAGAGAGCTTAAAAATATTTCTAGACACACAAAAATGGAGCCAAGAACAGCTTCATAGTTCATGACTCTCATGTGAACCACTGTACAGAGACACATCCTCTGGCTGTGACATGTGGGCTTGATCTGTAGCAGGAAAAGTTCTCACATTCTCACACAGGATGACTTACAGAGTGGCATTTTCCAGCTACATATTAGTTAGCAGATTTAGGGGTTTTGCTCATAAAGACAGAAAGGGTTAGAGAAACACAGTAAGAACAAATTCAGACAAAAAGGTTTATAAGTGGATTGAAGTGTGTTTGAAAAATGTGTATAGGCTTGGAAGAAGAAGAGAAAGGATAGAAATAGTCATATATTAAAAATGATTTTAAAATAATTAAGTAAAATTCTTAAAATTAATTAGAGTAATAAAATTATGATAAGCCATATATAGATAAAAAACAGAGAGTCTAAATTCTATATTATGTTCCATACTGTGTTTAGATTTTTTGACTGTTAATGAGTGAATGACAACTTCTGTAAGGCATTTGATTTTGGAAGCTATTAAATTAAACCAACCTATATATTTTAAAATTATCTTGACTTCAAAATTTAAGTCAAAAGATATGATAGTTGTGGGAAAGTTTATGCTTTTGTTTTCACAGAAAAATGAAATTCATCCATTTTGATTCATGGATTCATTCCAGGAAAATCAGGTTTGTTTGAGGAAGAACACCTAAAATCCTGAATACAGATATGAGAAAATAAACCTAAATTAAATACAAGAAATATGATGTATGTTTTACCTGTTCAAACATAAATCCAAAAAATATTTTTGGCTAGCCTGTGTACAATGCAAAGTTTGTATTTTTTAATACAGGTGTATGTGTTACCTTTAAAAGATTACACATTTTCAGAACAAGGTGACAAATCACCAATAAAAATGTTCTAGATGATCCAACCACCAAAATAGCTTTACGATTGCTGGCTTAGATGATCCAGCCTCACAAACACTCCAGCCAAAACTTAACTATTATCCTGATTTTCTCAGAGTCCCTGAAAGATTATCAGTACCCACCGATCAGCAGGAATTAGTCTAGAAAATTACACCTACATTACCAAAATATTGGTTATAAATGTTTGTTTTCATTTAAGGAGAGTTGTTTACAAATTTATATTGGTCATAATCAATTTCTTTCTAAAGAAGAAAGGGTATATGATACAGAAATTATGGGCAAAAGGTTTAATTATTATGGGGAAAAAAGTAGATTTTGGAATCTTCTTTAATCCCTCCAAAACAGTTGTTAATCTCTAAATATTAAACATTGGAATGAATTTTACTTTATTTATACCAAATTATAGTTAATCTTGTTATAATGTATTATATACTTGCTTAAGGTATTTCTTATGCAACTCAATTATAAATATAATATACAATTATGAAATACAGATCAATAGTCATCTATAATAGTCAAATTAAAAGTCTTGTTAGTTAGGTGTTCTAGGTATACAAACATATATTATAAATAGATAGATAATCTTCAAAAAGTTCAAACAACTATAAAATAAGGCATTTTAAATGTTTTAACAATTTAAGCTTTTCAGGAAAGTGAGATGTGTCTGCCCTGGCAGCACCAATCAACTTCAGAAAGATGATGAATATCAAAGAAACTATGTGGAGGCTTTTTTATGAATAAAGCTAGCAATGTGGGCAAAGAAACTGCCATTGACTCAACTGTTGATAGTCACTGCAAAAACTGAAAGAGGAGACAAGTTGGGAAGTCCTTTAGATTTCTCTGCTTCACAGTAAAGTCTGGCAGATAATCTAGGCCTGTAGGTCAAAGATGAATGTCCCGTCATTGCAGAAGAAGTTTGGGTGACTTTTATGATAGCCTGATGTCCCTGTCATTAAGTAATATTTCATGCTTCTGGTGTTTGGTGGAGTTGAAGAATAAACAGATATAAATATTATAAATATAGTTTTCCTTAGTTATAATGGGAAGTAAATTAGATACAAAACTTCAGACTAAGATTAGTTAGATAATCATTTTATCTACTTTTGCCAAATGCAAATGGATTTGGAAATGGCTACTGTAATTCTTATTTAGTAACAGTTTCCATTGTATATAGCTTTATTATGTTAATGCTAAAACCTTCCTATTAATTTAGACAAAAAAAGAGGGAAATGTTGTGGAATATTCCTATACCCTGTGTAAATTATGTTCTAATTGGTTAATAAAGAAGTGTATT